TATTATACTATACATCCAATGGGTCATCTAATTATTGTTAGTCCAATAAAAATTTATGGTAAGCTCAATAAAAATTATTAATGATTGTATAATGTAATGTGATAAATTCTAATAGATGGTCTATTTTAAAATATCACACATTAAAAGAGTCATAACTTCTCTTTCAATAGATTAGATTAATAATATAATATAATTTGATGTTATACGTTATAATAATGTTTACATAGCTTATAAAATTATTACTCTAAAATTTATCAACATTTTTTACATAACAATACTATTTTACATAACTTTTTTATTTCTAAAATTTAAAGTATATGAAAGTTAAATTGAATTGGACCTATATGATAGATGTATATATTTTGGGATGTTGTTAACACATCATAAAATATTTTTTGGGGATATTGGTTTCTAAATAGTTTTAAAATGAATATTGTTTACCAACAAAATCTTTATAAAACTCATTTTTGAAAATGAATAAATATAAACTGTTATTATTCTATTACTTTAATAATATGTTATAAATAAAAAATAAATTAATTTTTAAATTATATTTATGATATTTAACATGGAAATTAAATACTTGATAACTAATTTTGGAACTTTTTTTAAAAGACTCTAGAAGAATTTGTTACAGTTTTCTTTAAAATACTTATTTTAAAATAAGAAATAAATATATTAAAGGTTATTATCATTACATTATGTAAATATGATATTTTGTTAATGATAGTTCAAATTAATAAAATCACATATGAAAATGTAATGATCTTAGGATCCTCATATGCATCGAGATTACATGTTTTGTATACATGGTGTTTTCAGATAATTAAAATGCACGGGCCATGATTCTTGAAAGACACATTGATCTCTTCCTTCTTTAAGTTCCTATCTTATAGGAAAACAGTTATTTTACTCGTAATATATGAGGTGACTTAATAGTAATGTAAATATGTTATAAATGCTACATAATTTTTAAGGATAGTCCAAACCAAAAAATCACACATAAAATGAGTCATGACTTCTCTTTTAATATAATAGATGTTTTATCAAAAGAGATAAATATACACCTATATTCAATGATAAATTAATTTAGACATCTTATATATTAAAACAGAAGTCATGACTTGACTTCATGTGTGATTTTTTAGAAAAATGAACTATTACTAGAAAGTTATGTTACAATAACTCTCTAATCTTATCATTATTATATCTTATGAAAAATCATATCTATAATAACAAAGATATGTTTAACAATTTGGTTTGGGTAAATTACCCCACACCTTCCAACTTGGTTACGCAAAATATGTCAATAGATATAAGTTTAGGTATCTTATATTATTTATAAGGAAATATGTCAAAAATAGTTAAATACATCCATAATATATTAACAAATATGGAATATTTACATACCCTAACAAAATTTACACGCTATATATACTAGATAAATTTATTTCGATGAATTTTTTTAAAATTATATTGTTTTAAAAAAATTGTTTAAATATTCTTTTATTTTTAATAAAATTATTTATAATATTAATTTATGAAGCTATAAGTTTAGTTTTTAGCAAAAAATTCTTCGAAGTTTATATTATCTTTGCAAATTAAAGTATACTAATATTTAACCAAGTTCTATTTATATTATTTTATTTAAAATGAAATATTAATCTAACAAACAATAAAATATAGAAGAAGAAACAAACACATGTTTGAAAACATGTATAATATAGAAAATTTGAACAATCTATTTGATTAAAACATGTATTATATAATATTGTTATGTTTGAAAAACATTTATTATACACATCGTAAATATATGATTACTATAATATATACCAATTTACAAGTGAATACAAAATGTTTATATAACTAATTATATACGAAAACAAACACCCGCGCGGTTGCGCGGGTCAAAATCTAGTTAGGGTTTAAAGTTAAGGGGTGGAATTTAGGGTTTAGGGTTTAGAGTTTAGGGTTTATGGTTTAGAATTTAGGTTTTAGGGTTTAGAGTTAGGGAGTGGAGTTTTGGGGATAAGATTTCAATTTTTGAAAAATAATTTTCTTTTGAAAATTTTCAAAAGATAAAATGCTATTTTGGTCATTTTAGTTTTTGAGGACTATTTTTGTGACATAAACTTAGAAATGTACTATTTTAGAGATTTGCCATTTAAAAAAAAAATATTTTAACTCTAAAACATTAATCTTAAACCCTTAACCCTTGGGTAAATCATAAACCATTTGGAAAAATCTTAAACATTAAATAAGAAGAGTGAATTTGCTCAATATACCAAAAGAATAAACTATTTAGGGATTTGCCATATTTTGGGGGAGAAAAGTAGTAATGGGAGAAAGAGTGAGAAGAGATAAATAGGGTATGTAGCTAATTATGGGGATTTATATGTGTATGTAATGCAAATACTCTATAATGTAACAATGTTTTCAGTTTAAAGATATATAAAAAGAATTTATTTTTTTTCCAAAATTACTGTTTTTATTTTATTTTTATTTTAAAAACATAATATAATGTTAAAATAATTTTTAAAGAATGTTTTTGTAAATATTATTATTTTTATTTATGTTTTTCTATTTTTATTTTAAAAACATAATATAACTTAACAAGATTTTGTTTCCTTTCTTAAAAGATATCAAATATGAAATAACATCATCATATTGGTTGGTGAACCTCTAGGTTCACTCTATGGGGTGAAACCAAGAATAAATCTTCTTAAACAGATACATTAGATACTTTTGATTAACCAAAACGTCTTTAGCATTAACTTTACAATGATCTAATCAGATATTTTGTTAACTTCATTGAATAGAGTTATTTAATCCTAACATTTAAATTAAAACCCAATTGAAAAAAATACTAAAAATCAACAATTACTGGTTCTAAATTATTTAAAGTAATAAACCTTATAGTTCTTTTACTGGAAATAAATAATTCTTAAAGTTACAAAGACAAAATAACAAATGTCGGTTTTATAGCTCGATCTCTTTCATTAATAATCATTCATTTCTTTTGCAAATTATAGTTTCTTTTTAAGTTCTCTATTTATTAACAAAAACAAATTAAATAATATATTTTCATTAAAATTATAAACTACTCCCTCTGTAAATAGTATTAAGAATTTATTGTTTCAAAGTATAGGTAACTTTGTCACATCTAGATAATTTTAACATGTACTAGATATAATGTGACCAATCAAATAATGTCTATTTTTTATAGTTAGTAAATTTTATTAATTATATACTATGTTCTAAAAAATAACAACTTTCTGAATATTAATGTTTTTATTTTAAACTTTTGTGAAATGGAAGAAGTAATACTGTATATAAACGTTTAGAAAAATCTCAGTGACAAAACAAAATTTAGTTTACGTATTTTGTTAATTTTAGTAAAATCTTAAAAACCCTGAAAACAAGAACTATTTCTTTTTATTAGTTGGTTTATGATTTTTCTTTTCTAAGAACTTGTAACTCTTTATACAAAGGCACCTTATATTTATGAAATAAACATAAGAGTTCCCCTTTACTCTTTGATTCACAACAAAACTTAATATTTTCATTTATTCTTTCGACTCATTCAAAACATAATTCTTCCTTTGATCTCAAATGGTATTTTTGTTGTGAACTTATCTTCTAATTGCTAAATTATATATATGTATATATATATATATATATGTATATATATATATATATATATATTTGTTTCTTTTAAAGCATGGATAAGCGATGTTGTCTGATCAACAAGTTTTCTTTTCATTTTGGCTTTCTTTAGGTGCTCCAAAAATCTATTATGTTTTTACATAGTGTAATTTTTAATATAATAAAAGTTTAATATAAATTATTGTAGTTTATAATTTAAAAAAAAATAATATATAGGGGACAAAGTTATAAATAAAAATAAAATATATTAATCATCAAATAGAAAAATATATCTAAGAATATTTTTGAAGTAAACTATAGATTAAACTATTGAAAATAGACTTTACTCTACTTTAAAATGACTCAATTTTACAATAAAAATTACTTTAAAATAGAAGAAATCATTGTAGATTATATTTGCCCCATAGCTACTCACTAATCACAATTTTTTATTTTTTGTCAGCTAATCACATTTTTTTAAAAAATCTAGAAAAAATTGTGTTAACATGTGATAATTTTGATTAGAAAAACTTTAAAATAGAAGAAATCATTAGAGATGGTCTTCCCCCATATGGCTACTCATTAATCAGAACGTTCTAAAATCTAGAAAAATGTGTTAACATGTGATGATTTTGGTTAAAAACATAGTCAACCGATTCTTGTATAATAGTTTACAGGCAACTATTCAAAAAATAAATTAAAAGCACGAGGGATATCCTACATACAAAAATAAAATATTATTTCCAAAAATATTTCTACATTGCTTAAAAGTTGGTGAGATATTTTTCCTAAAAAGACAAAACTGGAGTATTATTAATGGGTCCCATCTCATTTTGCCAGCAAAATATAATTATTTTCCTCAAAGATATGTGGATATTAATCCTTAAATGAATTTTCTTCATCGTATGTGGATTATAAATCAATAAATGAATTTTACAGGGATTGCTTTCAGACAACAAAGTCTACACCGTCTTCAAGTCGATCAAATATAGTAAACGAATACGCTTTCACACTTGTGTATTCTTTAATCTTTTTGATTCTTTTCTCTTTCTGTTCTTCTGAGTCTTTATTTTATCCTCTCGCTTTCGCTGTCAAACCTTAAAAGTACTCGCTCATCTCCATTATTTAAGAATCTTATATTGAATCTACATGAAAGCTTTAGTCGTATAGTATATCCTACAAGCCCGTTGACTCTGCAATACCCTCATGTGGTGAAGTTCCAAGTAAGTATACGTCGTAGCTTTTGCTACCCCTATAAAAAGAAGAGAAAATAAAACGACATATTGTGCTCGATCCAGTTCTTGAATCTTAACACAGGGCTTATGATCTTTTGAGCTCTCTGTAACTACTTGAAAATGGCGGATAGAAACGAGAACCAAGCTCCTGAGAAACTTCAGGTTAAATTCTACAAATCCCAGAATTCAGATCCGTAAATCTTTCACTGTTTTCTGAATTCAATACCAAATTTTTTGTTTGTTTTAAAAACAGGGGAAGTTTCAAGCAACGGTTGTTTGTTGTATTCTTGGAATCGGAGCTCTTGTTTCTTGGAACAGTATTCTCACTATTGCAGATTACTACTACCTAGTTTTTCCGGTTCGATTTCTGTTTTGGTTCGGAATTGGTTATTGAAACCTAATGTTCTGTTTTGGTTATGTTGAAAACTTTCATGTTTCTTTGTAGGATTATCATCCTTCAAGGGTGTTAACACTTGTATACCAACCGTTCGCCCTTGGAACAATCGTGATTCTTGCATACCACGAATCTAAAATTGATACCCGGAAACGTAACCTGTTTGGTTATATTCTATTCACAATATCCACGTTCTCGCTGATAGTTGTAAGTTTTCTTTTTAGTCTTCATCTTTCTAATGAAACTGGACTTTGATTATGTCTCTAACAAAAACTCAAAAACAGTTGGATTTGGCTACAAAGGGACGTGGTGGAGTGGGACCTTATATCGGTTTATGCTTAATAGTTGCTTCTTTCGGCCTTGCTGATGCTACCGTTCAAGGAGGAATGATCGGTGATTTATCATTGATGTGTCCTGAATTCATCCAGGTTTAAAGCATTTTTCAACAGATTTGAATTCAAGATCTCGGTTTAGATTATCCGAATTTTACTAGAGATACAACTTCTTGTTTATTTTGTAGTCATTCATGGCGGGGTTGGCAGTAGCTGGTGCTCTAACTTCAGGTCTTAGGCTAATAACTAAAGCAGCTTTTGATAATTCAAACGAAGGTCAACGTAAAGGAGCAAGTGAGTTTACTATTTTCTTGAAGACGTTGAAGTGAGTTCAAGAACTTCATTTCTTGCTTTTTTTTTTCTTTTTGCAGTGATATTCTTAGGGATCTCAACATTCATAGAGTTTTTATGCGTTTTGCTTTACGCATATGTGTTCCCTAAACTCCCCATTGTTAAGTATTATCGAAGAAAAGCCGCTTTGGAAGGATCTAAAACTGTTTCTGCTGATCTTGCTGCTGCTGGTATCCAAAACCAATCTGATTTGGTAACTTCAGATTCCTCAAGAATTTTCCCTTCCATGATAAGATTCTTCATTGTTTAAACTTCTTGAGTCTTCTATGCAGACTGATGATGATTCCAAGAACCAACGGCTAAGTAATAAACAGCTATTACTTCAAAACATAGACTATGCAGTGAATCTAGCCCTCGTCTACGTTTTGACACTATCCATTTTCCCCGGGTTCTTATACGAGAACACGGGAAAACACGGATTAGGCGCTTGGTACGCGCTTGTGCTAGTAGCAATGTACAATTGTTGGGATCTAGTGGGGAGGTACACGCCGCTGGTGAAATGGCTAAACATTGAGAATAGAAAATTACTCACCGTTGCGGTTTTGTCACGTTATTTACTCATTCCTGCCTTCTACTTCACCGCAAAATATGGCGATCAAGGATGGATGATTATGCTCATTTCTGTTTTGGGACTAACTAACGGACATCTCACAGTTTGCATTCTCACCGCAGCTCCTAAAGGCTACAAGGTAAAACCTATTTGAAAATATTCCCCATTAGAGATTGTTGATTGTTTGTGGTTTTTAGATTAGTTTTTGGTTTTTGTTTTTCCAAAAACCATTTTGCATCCAATCAAGATTTTGAAATAATAGATTTCCTAAAATATAGGAAAACTAGTTTTTGCCAATAACTGTTTTCTTAACATAAAAACCAAAAACCAAGTTTTCATGGTTTTTTCAAATCTTACGTTGGTTTTCATTTTTTTTAAGAAATTTTTTTTATTATATTTATGCTATAATATAAGAAAAACATAAATAGATAAGTACAGTTAAAAAAACGTTCTAGTATGAATCATTTGACTACTATGGATACAGTTTGTTAAAATTCATGATACATTATTTTAGTAATTTTTCTTTTGTTTAATAATAAAAAAATAATTTATAAATTAATTTTTTTTTTTTAAAAACACAGACCAAATATATTTATAACTTTACAAAGTTTCTTAAATTTAAAAAATATATTTAAATTTTATGTAGTATGTTCAAATAACAAACAAACGTATGATCACATAGAGCTAAGGCATTTTACACATAACTAATCAACCTACATATATAAGTTTTTTACATCTATGCAAATCATAAAAACAATATTATTGTATTAAAATAAAAATCTAATTGTTATTTTATATGATAATAACATGATCTAAAGCACAAAATAACTCATATAAAAATTTTAAACTTATCAATAAGTTTTAAAAAATAATAATTTGAAGTTAGTCATTAAAAAAATATATATTTATATGTTGATAATTTTGTTTTTATTTTGGGAAATTAGTTTTTATTATTTCTTTTACTATTCATATATATGAGCTATATTTCCTATTTTTTTAGTTTTTTCTAATATTTTTTTGTATGAAGTTTTTTAAACAAGTTTATGTGTGTTTTAATGATTGTATTTTATTTTTTATTCTTCATAATATACATTTTACTATAATAAAATTTCAATTCCTTTATTTTAAAAGCAAAAACCAAAAACTAAAATCTAAAACAACCATTCATGTTTTTCAAAAATCTAAAAACTACTACAAAATCAAAAACTAAAAACTAAAAACCAAAATCTAAAAACCAGAAACCAAAAACTAAAAACCAAAAACAAAATCTAAAAACCGACAAAACAATCATCACCTATTTTTCGTATTTAAATTGCATCACAACTTATTAGTTCGTCTGATTTTAATGTTAACAACACATATATATTTTTATTTTTATTATATAGCTGATTTTGTTAATGATATCAGAAAAAGAAAACTTATGATTTTGTTAATACAAATTTTGTTATTGTTTTCTGAAGGGTCCGGAGCAGAATGCATTAGGGAACTTGCTGGTGATTTTTCTATTAGGAGGAATATTTGCAGGAGTTGCTTTGGATTGGTTATGGCTTATTGGTAAGAAAGATGCCTTCTGATTAATCATCGTCTCTCCAAACCAAGTCACTTAATTAATTGGAGATTAATCTGTTTCTTTCTCTCTTTCACAAAAAGTATTTTATTATTTGCTTGTAATCTGTAAGTTTTATTATCCTTGGAACCAGAGGATATTTGGTTTTCTGTGCTAAGTAATTGTTCGTTTTACTGAACATTTCTGCAACATTTTTTATTATTCTGCAACATTTGTTGGTTTTTTTTTTGTTCAAAAAAAAAGGGAAGGTACAGTTCTATAAGACGTTTTCTCCCAACAACTGCCATAAAATAGTAATATCTGAAACAAACAAAACGATGATAAACAAACCATAAGTCCATAACACATGGTAAAATCTTCAAGTAATATATACTTTCTGTAAGTAAATATTTAAGTTTAAATTAATTCATTATGATATAAAACATAATTACAGAAAAAAACTTTACTCTTACATGGTATAATACAAAAATGGCAATGAAAATTTAAAGCATATAAAGATTGTATTAAGGTTATTTTGATTAGTTTTTGACCAAAACATGAAAATATTTGAATATTTCCTATAACTAATAACTAAAAGACATTCTAATATATTTTCTTAAGATTTCATTTTAACAAAAAGTTGAATATCTTTTACATATAAATATAATTTCATTTTAAATACTTAATTTAAATTAATTAATTTCTTATTTCATATTAAAATATTATAACAAAATAAGATTTTTTTCAAAAAATTTATATATAGTTAAAAATATGTGATACTTTATCAATACCAGTATTCTATAACAGGACTTCATTAAAATTTACAATAAACAATAATCATAGTATGATTATTTTTATATGTTTATAGAGTTTTTACGAGTTATTCCATCAAATATTTAAACATTTACCATCCACGAGATAGATTAAACAAAAAATAGTAAATTTTTTTAGTGATAAAATATCAAAGAAAATTTGTGTGACTGTAAAATGATTAAATGCAAAATGGGCTAAAATATTATATAATATTGAATGTCTTCTTACTGTATTTTACTCGTTATTTGCACATTATATTTATTTCGTCAAAAAATAACAATTTAATATAAAAATTAATCATTTTAATAATATTATACATTTAACTAGTTATTTAAATAATGAAAATCAAAAAAATTGATAAAAAATTATTATATAAAATAGAAAATATCTATAATTAAAAATATCATTTAAGTTGTAGAATATTTTACGTATGAAGGTGCATTCTCTTTAATAAATCTAATGTGTAAATAACGAGTAAAATACAGTAATAAGACATTTAAGATTAGGTAGAATTGTTGTGGCGAGATTATATTTTCTACAGAATTTAATTTAACAAAATTAAAATACTTAATTTTCGTTTTTGTTTATATTTTTAAAGAAGTAATTAATTTTCTTACTGATAAATTTTTTTAGTTTTACATCAAATTTTCGAGTTTCAAATAAAAAGTTCAATTAATATTCTATTTTGAAGACTAAAACAGAGTTCATTTGTGGTATACATTTAATATTTAATAATATATTATAATACAAAAAGAGTTTAGGATTTCGATAGTAGTTCGTTCTAACAAAAGTAGAAAAGATTTAAAATTTATTAAAATTTTATTTAAGTTTCAAAATAGTCTCTTATGTGATAAGGTTTTTTTTTAATTGGTCTAGTGTAAGGGAATTTAATAAAACAAACCCTTAGCTATAGTCTCACCCATTTTCAACCCTCATTTATCCCCTATATATTATTTGAGAAGCATTACAATATGTTTTGGTAGCCACGTGTCATCAGGAGAATGCTTCTAAAATTTACTAGAAAAAATGTTGGTCCATATAAACATATTATATACTTTTTATTAAACTAAACATAAAAATATTATTAATGCTATTCCTTATTTCCTTAAATAAATTTACAGAATTACCTAATATGGTTATAATATATATATGAAAATTAATGATTTGAATATGAAGATTTGATAAAAAAAAATTATAGCCTTTACTATTTTTGATAATTTTATATTATGAAAATAAATTAAACAATAACATTAAATATATAAAAATAAGATTTTTATATATGTTATATTTTTAAATTTTAAAATGAATATAAATTAATAAAATATTAAAAAATTTCACATATAATATTTTTGATTATTAGTTTAAATCTCCTAATATATTAATCATGGAGCATTACAACATTTTTTGATAGCTACGTGTCACAATGAGAATGATTTTCATAACTCTTAGAGAATTATGTTGGTCCAACTAAACATATGTTATATAGTATTTTTAAATTAATATTATATAAAATAATATACACTAAAAATCTCTATAAAATAATATAATATCATAGTTTCAAATTGAAATTTTGGTTCAATTAGTATACCGATAAATTAATAATCTCTATAAATTAATAAAAATTATAATTTTGGTGTAGTCCCAACATTATTAATTTATAGAAGTTCCACTGTATTTTATTATACTAAATATTATATTTAATTAGTAGTGTACAAAAAAACATTATTTATTTTTTCCTTAAATAAAGCTACAAAATTACCTAATATAATTAACATATATCTCACAATTAATATTTATGAATAATAAAGATTTGATAACAATTTTTATCCTCTTTACATTTTATTTAATTTTATATTATTAAAAGAAATGAAAAAATCTCATTAATCATATAATAAAAAAATTAGATTTGTTCTAATATGTTCTATTTTGATTTTTTTTTAAAATGACCATAAATTACTAAAAATGGTAAAAATATCAAATTGAAAATTTTGTAATCAAAGATAACGTTTTTTAGTCCAACCAATCGTTTTCCTAATGGGTCTTAAAAAATTTATAATGATTAACTAAATGGATCACGCATAACACAGTGTTTTTTGTTTAAAAACTTTTGCATACCAAAAATCAATATGAACCATCATCCCTTTCGTTTAAATTTTTGGTATAATAAAAAATATATATGGTTGGAAAAAAAAACTGAATCCAAATAACCGAGCAAAATTAATCCAAAAATTAGTAGAAATTTTTAACCAAAATTAGTTAGATATCCCAACGAATTCAAAATTTTGGTATCTAGATAACCAAAACTGAATCGAAATATTCCGAGTATTTGAGTGTACTCGAACCAGATTTATATACTTAAATATTTTAATTATTTTTAAATTTAACCTCTAAGAATAAAAAAAAATATGAGATATTTTAAAATTTTCCAAAATACTTAGAAATATATAAAATAGTTAAATGCACATTTTTAAAATAGTTAAACGATACTCCAAATATCAAAAATATTGAAATATTTATTGATTTTTTGTGCAAATATTTATGATAAACCAATTTTATGTTAAGTTTAAGTATTTTGGCATTCATTTTTCACATTTATATGTTATATATATTTTTTTTTTTACTTTTTGATTTTGAAAAAATTAAAGTATGTATGAATTTTAATATTTTTATAAAAAAAGAAATGGGTTATCCGAACCTAAACCCAACATGAACCAAACCACAAAGATATAAACTAAACAGAATCTAACCGAACCAAATAGTACCCCTATGCCCATCCCTAATCAAATGTAAAAATGGTTTTCGGTAGCAAAATATATATTTTAATACAATATATTTTTAAAAAGCTCAACCCGCGCATGACGCGGATTATCATCTAGTTTAATTAGTAATAAGATAACCTCTTAACTAAATCTGTTTGTATAATTAACCCAAGACATTTATAAACGTTAAATCCTTAAACAGCTTCAATCAACGCTATAAAAAAATGTTTTTAACAAAAGAAACAACAATAACACTTTCTTCCTTTGTGAGAAAACATCATATTGTCAAATTTTTACAAGTAAAACAACAAGACGTTTTCAGAAAACAGTTTTAAATTATGCAATAATCATCATCATTAATAGTTTTACCCAAGATTTCAAACCTCTAATTCTAAAATATAGAACGTTAACAAGCATTATTATTGTCTTTCCTTAGTTTCTACGAACAAAACTTTGAAATTTAAAGATGAATAAATAAATTATCTTTTGTATTACCAACAAAATATATCAAACAAACATGATTTTACCCCTGAAACAGAGCATGGTAGCAAGGAATGGTATTCTATTAACAAAAAACAGAACAACGTATATAGAAAAAACAGAGCACTGTTACAGAAAAAAAACAGAGGATCGTAAAGTGTAACATGGTTTCACCAAAACAAACAAACATCATAAAAATACAGCATAAGATATGACGAGTAACGGGAACTTATCAAACAGTCTATAAAATTGCTGGCTGTTTAATTTTTTTATGTTTCCGGCCGGACCCGGCTTAACATGTAAATACTGTGCTAAACAGTATTTTTTTTTTTTACTCATGTTAGTGAAAGATTTTTAAAATTGGACCTTTTAATCTAGAAGATTTTTAGAATAAAGATCCTAAAACAGTAAGGAAAATTTAATAAAAATATGAGGGCCCAAAGCTCTCGCACCTCCAGCACCATCCCAAAGCCGACACTGTTTCCGGCTAAGTTTTAGGGTACCCATTCGATTTTTTTGGTGCGGTTCAGATTCGGTTTTGGGTTTTCGGTTTAAAATTCTAGGACCCATATAGTTTTTACATCGAGTATAGTTCGGGTTTAGTTTTGATTTTTTTTTTTGGGTTGGTTTCAGTTCTTTTTTTTTGTTTCGGTTAAAAGTCTTAGCCCTACAAATAAGGTATCAATAATAACATTGTATTAAGAAAAACCAAAATCTAATACAAAATCAAAAACTAAAAAAATCAGAAACCAAAAACTAAAAATCGAAAACCAAAAACCAAAATACTTAACCATTCATTGCCTAGCTAATAGTAGTATCAAACGTATTTTACCAAATATAGAATAGAACGACAAATGAACGTGATATGAAACATAACGTGCTTATACAACATTTATGCCTGATGATTCAAACTTCTTGGGTCTTCTTTGGTCTCTCTCCTCTCCCTCTCCCAATCTGAGCTGGAGGGTGCTTTCTACTCGGGTACCATTTGGCTGGAGGATTTGTAATCCGCAAACTATGCCTCGCCTCTACTGGCTTTGTCTTATCAGTAACTTCCATTTCATTTCCTTCACTATCCATGAATTCATCTGTTTCCGTCTAATCAGTAACCTGCATTTCCATCTCATCTGTAACATGTGTTTCATCTCATCACTATCCATGAATTCATCCATTCCCATCTCAGTACCTGCATTTCCGTCTCATTAGTAACATGGGTTTCAATCCCAGAAAACATGTGTG